AAGTAGTTTTTACTAACTTCATTGCATTTCCTAGGAATATGATGCAAGATTTTTTCCCATCTCTTAATTTTTCATAAAAAATATTTAAGTTTTATGCATCAGAACAAAGCAGGAGCCATAATTCAAGAGCCAAGTGCTTTACTGGGCACTCTAGGGGGCCCCAAGATCTCCTTTCCAAAGCCTACAGCAAGAATCACCTTGGCAAGCTGAGGACTGCTTCAGGCTGGACAGGCATCCCAGCTATAAGGCACCCAGCAGCAGGGTTCCTATCTGCTCATGAGCAACATAGGTTTTCTCAGTCCCTCTGTGTAGCACTTGAGAGTTCTTGCCAGCTATGGAGCCCACATATAGGATACAGCCGTAGGGGTCTCCCAGGAACTCTCATCTCCACTTTGACACTTAAGCACCAAATAGAGGTGGCATTGCCGATAAGGATAGTCAGGCCCAGGATGTTTGTGGATCTGAAGTGGGGTTTGCGGAGTCTTGCAGTCTTGGTGGATCCTCATGTTGGATACTTCCTGCCTTGTAAATCCCCAGCCTGTTGGAGGTGGGCAGACATTACTGTGAGGTTCCTCGTGTCCTCAGTTATACTACAGAGGGCCTTCTGTTGTTTCCGGTCTAGCAGTGGGATTGCTGTGTATGGGTGCATTTTGTAGCGCATGCTGCTCACAGATCTCTAGGGACCGTGTCCCATTGGTACCTCAGCTGTAAGGCTGTTGAGCTTGATGTATGCTCTGTGCCCTGTTGTGGTAGCCTGGGTATTCTCACGTGTTAATCCCCATGACCTCTATTTAAATCTTTTTTCTTTATTTATTGAAGTTACTCTATCTTGACAAGTTCTCCTAAAAATGAAACATTTCTCCACAAAAATGAGAGAAAGTAGATAGTTCTTTAAGTACAGGCGAGTTTCAAAAAAGATGAAAGAAGTCCTTTTGCAAATAATTTTCTCTCCTTTATTCAGAGGCGGAGGGACTTTGTAGGTGAGCAGTAACTTATCCATGTTTTCACAACATTTGCTCTCTTCCTGGACTAACAATGTATCAATGTTCATGCATTCTTTCTATCTTCTCTTTTCTGTGTCTTTGACCACATATTTCCTAAAGAACTGAATAAGATGAGATTGTCAGATGGCTTTCTGGCTGACCTTATCCTTGAGATTTTGAGGCAATAAAACTATTTTTTGCATTTTTATTCTAATTTTGCACTGAAGAAATTTTTTTTATTGTGAAAATACCGTACAGAGGGGTTACAATTACATGGGCAAGATAATGAGTATAATTCTTATCAAGCGTTGTTGCCTCCTCCTTTGTTTCCCCTTCCCATCCCTTCCCATTCCCCCACAACCCCCATGAAGAAATTCTTAGTCAAGATATTAAGGATATTAGGTTAGGTAGTATAAGTGAAGCTTAAAGAAACAGACATGTAAAAATACTTCAATGAATTATGGTACTGAAACTGCTTTCCTTCCTAATTCAAAACCATTTCAGAAACAGCATGAATGACCTTTTATTTTCTTCTCAGGTAGCACACACGACTATAATTTCCCATGACTATTTATGGTCTGTACAGCCTGTCTCTAACTTCCTTTTTTTCTTTTTTTAAATGTCAGCGGAATACGTGTTTCTTTAATGGAAAATATTCTATTTTGAGGGCGCTGCTTTTCTTCAAATAAATAATGGAGTTGGGGGAGGGGTGTCAGAGTGTAAGAAGTATGCAAAATTGAAGTGTTTTAACTTAGTAGTTGAGATCTTGAAATGACAGTCTTCAAGAAGACCCCTAATAGAAAACCTTCTTTTTATCCAGCATAAAATGCCAATTGTACTTGGCATTCTACATTCTTTAAAAAATCTTTTTCTGCTGGGCACTATTGGCTTACACTTATAATCCTAGGTACTCAAGAGGCTGTGATCTGAGGATCACAGTTTGAAGCCAGCTCAGGAAGGAAAATCTGTAAGACAGAACCCTGTCCCTGAGTTCAAACCCCAAGACTGGAATTAAAAAAAATGAACCCCACATTTTTCTTAAACACATGGGAGGATATTTGCTAATCCATGCTGGATAGCCAAGGTGATTTTCTACCATGAGAATGATGTAGTGTGTGGAAAAGGTAGACTGGAGCAGTGGCGGGGCGGAGTTGGCCCATGACTTCTAGATGGTGAGTCCATGAGCTGAGCACCAGCTTTCGAGCTGCTGCAGCTGCACAGTTGCACATCTTTCATGGCAGGAAGGTCACCTGTGACTCCTGAACTGGGCACAATGCATCCCTGCACTGCCCTTCCATTCCTCTGCAATGATTTGGAAAGTCATTGCAGCAGCAGGGAATCCCTTAAGCCTTGAGGCGTGCATTGACAGTTGTAATTTTCTTTTTTGTATTTCTTCCATTATTCACTATCATCTTAAAACTGTCAACATATATATCTTCTAGCATGTTGGTTTTAGGTTAAATTTTATTAAAATATAATATAAATACAGAAATGTAGCCTCTTCATAACTGTAACACCTGAATCATAACCAGGTTGAAGACCAAAATAATAGAATTTAGATACTGTCTTTTGGATACTGTCCTTCCTACCAAAGGTTAAGACCACTGGAGTGCTGACTTTGACTTAGTAGTGACAAAATCATGCAGTATATTCTATTATATGTCTGATTTCTCTCAGACAGCATATTAAAATATTTGTGAGAGTCACCATTTTTGCTTTTTGTTTGATTGTTTTGTGCCTATATTGGGGTTTGAACTCACGGTGGAGGTGCTATCCCTGAGCTGTTTTGTTCAAGGCTAGCACTCTACCACTTGTGCCACAACTCCATTTCCAGCATTTTTGGTGGTTGATTGGAGATAAGATACTCATGGACTTTCCTGGCTAGGGTGGCTGTGATCCTCAGCCTCCGGGGTAGCTGGATTACAGGTGTAAGCCAGCAGCACCTGGCAGTAGTGCTGGACTTTAAACTCAGAGCCTCAGACCTGTTTAGCTGGCGTTGTACCACTTGAGCCACATTTCTATCCCTGTTTTTGTGGGGGGTTTTTGTTTTTGTTTTTTTTTTGCTGGCTGTTTGGAAATGGAGTCTAATGAGCATTTCTGTTCAGGCTGAAGCACAATTCTCCAGACTCCAGCCTCTTGACTAGCTAGGGTTACAGTGTAAAGCCACCAGTGCCTGGCTAAGATTTATCTTGTTGGTTCTATATTATAATTCTTCATTCTCATTGTTACATGTTCTATTAATTTCTGAAAGTAGAGTACCTTTTGTAGCTGTGAATATATGGCAGTAAAATATGATTTAGACATCATTAGAACATTAGAACTGTCATTATGTGATTTATTTTTATTATGATTTAATATTTAAGTGTTGTATGACTATAAGAACCCTTTCATTTAAAAAAAGACAAATAAATTAGTTTTCTCTCCTCAAGTCAGATTATTAACCTTACTTTATTGCTGTTCACCTCATTCTCCCAGCTATAAAAATAATCATTTTCTTACCTGTGTGCTTCCATGAAAATAAACTTATAGCTATTTGTATTTAATAGCTGTAGATAGTTGTCATATTAATCACAGGTAGTAGGTCAGTGATCTGTATGCCTGTTACATTGAATTCCTTGAAGCCAGAACCTGTCTTTTCACTCATGTTTCTAAACTCAACTTCATATATGCCTGTGCTCAGTCAGGTATCTTCTAAATTTGTTGAGTGTTCCGAATTAGAGCTGTGGCTTATCAGTGGTGTTTATTGTATTTTGTCATTGTAGCCTCAGATTCCTGAATGCATCTGCAAACAAACTGGAAAGCCTTCCTCCAGCCACGCTTTCTGAAGAGACAAGCAGTATCTTACAGGAGTTGTATTTGACAAATAACAACCTCACCGATAAATGTGTGCCCTTATTAACAGGACACCCCCATCTGAAGATCCTTCACATGGCCTATAACCGACTCCAGAGTTTTCCAGCAAGGTAATGAGGGTTGTAGAGTGATGTTATAGTTGCATTCTACACAAGCATTTTGTAAAAGGGAAGATCAAAGCTGAAATGTTTATTTCACAGATAACACGTTTGCTTATTCCTCCCTTTGTCATAGTTGCCTTTTATATAAGCTGTGATCAGCAAACATTCCCCTCAGGAGAAACATATTGGTTTTTCTAGCATGAATGTATCCAGAGACTCAGCCACTACAATGTTCTTAGGATTTTGAAATAGATTGTTTAGTTATATGTTTTTTCTCCTAACTAGTCAGAACGGACTTTAAAAAATAAAAATTAATATGGTGGGTGAGAATTAGAATGTTCAACACCCAGACTATATTCATGTTCATGATGTGAAAAATAATGGAGAGTTGAGGATGTGGCTCAGTGATAGAAAGCCTCCTCACATGCACAAGACCCTGGATTCTATTCCCAAATACAAACAGATAAGCATCAGTGGCCTGTGACATTGCATATCATGCCCTCCGTAGGTCTCTTAAATATGCCTTTATTTGAATTTCTAGTTTCGGCAGAGGAAGTGGCATAGTATCTAGCTTTGTGTGGTCCACACACTGAGCTGAGGATATCTTCTACATCCATTTCACTGGGCATGCATCCATCTGATAAGTTGGAACTTGGAACACACACTCATACATCAACAAAGCAAATACTGACTCCTCTGGTGTTCTGCTAGTAACTGCAGCTTTGTATAGGGGCCAGCCTTTCTGTGTTGCCTTCAGGGCTACATACCAGTCTGTCTCTTCCCTTGCAGAAAGACAAAGGCCCAAATATATGTTGGCTTGAAGTATTGTTTTGACTTGGCTACCAGTTTCTTCCTATTTTACCCCTCATTTGATGTTGATGATTAAACTTCATTATGGAATGTAGAAATAATAGTTTTTCAAAAAACAAACATGATAGTCCCATAGTTCCCTGTCCCATTTTCGATGGCCTATATCTAAACCGTGGATGAGAAATGATCATTATCTTTGTCCCCTCAGTGACTGGTGCCAGATGTAACTGTATACCCTAAGTATAGAGAAGTTTTTTTTTTTCATCTTGTTCTGATTTCCCTGTGAGTTATGATACAATATAGTAGCTCCCCTGGAAAACCTGAGCTGCTCAGGAAACTTTACTCCTTCAAAGTAGACATTCAGCTAATGATTTTGAACATGTTCCAGCAATCAAGTCACTATCTGGCCACCTCTATGTTGAGAGATTGAAATTTCATTAACTTTTCTTTTTATGAGCCTGATTTCTGTACCCACGATCATTTTGTATGCCTTTTACCTATTAGTTTCTCCATATTTCTTTGAAAATATGAAGGACAGCATATCCAAATAATCCTAGAAATTTTAGATTACTCCATAGTGTGTAAGTATGTGAATAATGTTGTTTACAGTATATCCTGATACCCAACAACATGTGGATTTTTTAATAACAAAAAGTTTTGACTTCATCAGATTAAAAACTTAGGTCTTGTTATATTGTAGTTGTGTATTATTTTCAAGATAAGAAAAGCATTTCGCTAATTTTCTTGCAGTACTGGGGCAGGAACTGTGTTTGCTGGGCAAATGCTCTAATCATTTGAACCATATCCCCAGGCCTTTCCATTTTAGTTTGGTTTTTAGATAATATCTTATGCTTTTGTCCAGACTTGCTTGGATCTCATTTCTCCTACTCCACCTCTCACATAGTTGGGATTATAGGCACGTGCCAACACGCCCAACCTAGTAAATTTTTTAAAGCATATTGAATAAGTGAAACTATAATGAACAGAAAAAATATTAATAGCTCCAAACTAATTGACTCAAGATTGCAAGTTTGACTTATACTAACTGGGAAGCTTCTGTTTCTTGGAGTCCCATATCCCCAGGGCTTGGTTTGAATTCAAGCTCTCCCAGAAAGCCAAGGAATAACTAAATGACTCAACATACCCTCACTCCTCACCATGCACATGTAGTCATAAATGGCATCAGAGGGGCATATAGTTAGAGAAAAGCATACTATAATAGAAACTATTGCTCAGTTTTCTTCTGATTATTTTTGGGAGTTTGTTGCCAGTATAAAGAAGTCTTCTGCTCAACCTAAGCTCTCTTGAAGCTTTAGATTCATACTAGTTTTTAACCCATTTAAGTAGGATTTCCATTGGAGTTCAGACTAACTACTTAATAAATGAATTGTTGCCAGGTAACTTGGTTGACACAGAGATTTTTTTTTAGAGGGGAAAGAACCACCATTTTTCTCCTTGTTGTCTGTTTGAAGAGTCCACATTAAGTTTTTGTTTTGTAATAAGAAAGGAAGTAGATTTTTTTTTTTGCTACTCAAAAACTGGGGGGAAAAATGTCTTGTTTTTAACACCTCCTCCCATGGATTTTCTTTAGTAAAATGGCAAAACTGGAGGAGCTTGAAGAAGTTGATATCAGTGGGAACAAGCTGAAAGCCATCCCAACAACGGTCATAAACTGCAGGCGCATGCATACGGTGATTGCTCACTCTAATTGCCTTGAAGTCTTTCCGGAAGTTATGCAGCTCCCAGAAATCAAGGTATGTAGGTTAGTCTAGACATTCTAGGCTTTGAGTCAGCAAAGAATGTTGATTTTCCTAATTCATTAGCTCAAGATGTTTATGCCTTTGTCGAATTTAACACCAAATCAAGACTCCTTGTCGTTACTATATCCTGGCTGAAAGTGACACCCTATTGGGTCAACAGAGTTCAAAACAAAACCATGAGCTAGATGTTCTGAAATTTATATCCCTGGGCTCTGTCCCTAATTATTGGAATAACATTCTTCTAGTCACCCAGTGCTGCTCTCCCTATCGAGTAGTCCTTAGACTCACATATTTCCAGGGCATTTGCCAATGAAGGCTTAGTCAATTGTGAGAACAGTTTGAAAAGTTAATAGTACCACTACCTACCCCTGACCCTTCACTTAGGTAACATACACTACCACAGTAAACAGTGATAATTCCCCCATAGAGATAGCATCATTGCTGTCATCAAACATTCATTTCAACTTAGGGAAATAATTAGAAGAAATGTTATTTCCAGTTAATGGAAGAAGACAATGAGGCATTGAAAACTGAAATAACAAAATGGAGCCTGCAGATTGGTAGGAGATAGTCTTCAACTCCTAACTCCTGACAAGGGTAGAGAAACTAAAGCTACCTCACAACTTTCTGTTCCTTTTTGAGGTTCCAATACCTTTGTATATAATATACTTTTTACTTTATGTCAAGCATTACTAATTACCAGTTTTACATTCTAATCTTTTAACTGGGGATAAAATGTAGTCCTCCTTAGCCATTCACTTTTTCGGCACTTTCTGATACAAACCTTATATATCAGATTTAGAAATTCTGCAGATATTTGCATATTCTTTAGCATATATAATTTTTCATCACTACAGTTTTTTAATACATTTATTTGGTTAAAAGTGTTTATAAACCATTTTCTAAATGTGCATATGTATGTGCTTTAAATTATAGAATATTTTGCTTTGCTCTTTAAGAGCTCTGTTACCTTGTATGTTACTGTAACATTTTTAAGCTGTTTATTACAAACTGCGAGAAAGACCACGCTTGTATTTTGTTGTCGTACTTTTCACACAAGTGAAGAGTAAGACTCTTGTTGGGGGCTGGTGGTTCACTCCTGAGATTTGAGGATTGTGTTTTGAAGCCAGCCTAGGGAGGAAAGTCTATGCAACTCTTATCTCCAATAAATGACTCAAAAAGCCAGAAGTGGCACTGTGGTTCATGTGGTAGAGTGCTCTCCTTGAGCAAAAGAAGCTCAGGGACAGTGGACAGTGTCCAGGACTGGAAAAAAAAAAAAAAAAGAGTAGAACTCTTTCAGAGTTAGATCCCAGCTGAAAATTAACCTCTCTGTAAGAAGAGGAAAAGAGTCACTTCTGTTGCAAGGCTGAAATGAAATAATACATATAAAGCATTTGAAACAGGAGTGTCATACAGTCAGAATTCCCTCAATGTCAGCTGTTTTTGATATACATCCCTGTGTGGTTCAACTGTGATGTTGATTATACAGAACACTATTTTGCTGAAACTAAGCAAAATCCAGAAAAGTTAATACCTAAGCAAATGCCTTTTTGCCTCCAGTGCAGGAAACATATTAACAGCTAAAGCTTCAGGGTTCCTGTCCATTCCTTGGCACAGTGGTGGCTGAGCAGTGGTATCTTTCTCAAGGGGGTGTTAAACTGCTCTTTATGTACTATGCTGGTTGATAAGCCTGCAGAGAAAAGAGTAGCAGAAACTCCAAATTAGCCTCCTGGGTGCTGATTAATTTCCTTACCTTGCTTTCAATGTCATGTAATTCCTGCATATAGAGTAATTCACTTTCTTGTTTTAGAATATAATATTTAATATAAATAGTATCTGTGAAGCCCTGAGTTTAATCCTAAGCATCCCCAATCATGCTCTCCCCCAGCAAAAAAGAAAAAGGCCAAATAGAAAAGTTGGTGAGACCTTCATCTCAACAAATAAGTCAATGTGGAGATCCCAGCTATATGGGAGGGTATATGTAGCATATGGTCCAAGCCAACCCCGGGCAAAACAAAACAAAAAACACAGACATTATGAAAAAGAACCTAAATCCGAAGAGGCTGGAGACTTGGCTCAAGTGGCAGAGCAACCGAGTGTAAAGTCCTGAGTTAAATCTCTGTGACTGCTGAAGAAAGAAAGGGCAGAGGGAGGCAGAGAAGAAGGGAAGGAGGGAAGATGGGAGGGAGGAAGGAAGGGGGGGGGGAGAAAGATGATGTAAAAAGAATTGCTCAGTTAATGCCTTTACTTCAGGTTCTGCACATGATTTAGTTTTAATATTACTATCTGGTAGAACAACAATTTTTTAAAATCTCATCCTTTATTTCACCAATCCACTTTTATTGTCATAAATTCTATAGTATTCTATAATTTCTGTCCTAAATTTTAAAAAAAATCTTTTAAGCTACAACATAAAGGCAGGATCTTGTTGTATATCCTAACCTGGCCTCAAATGCAAAACTCACAGTGCTCCTACCTCAGCCTCACAAGTGCTGGGATTATAAGTGTGTACTACCATATCTGGCTTCAGTAATATTGTATAAAGAAAATACCATAATGAAGAAATGCTCAGAATTGGCACTGTGGCTCAAAGTGATAGAGCACTAGCCTTGAGCAAAAGAGAATTTTGAGTATAGCAAAGTAAATTTTGTTAGCTGAGTCCTAGAGTGGACTTGGAAAAGATAACCTTCATATTGTAACCAACATGTTCATTCAACAGACACATACATTAGCAGCATAAAATCTAGTGGCACTATTTTTCCCTCGTTTCCCCCAAATATTTTGAGGATTTTTTAGTGGTAGCAATGAGAGTTAGCCAGTAGCTCTTTTGAATAACTGTCAACCAGTGTTGAAGACTATTAAAAATAATAGAAATATAGATTGAGCATTAGCACGACCTTCAGAGCTGGGTGGAAGAGCTCATCATCTCTTGTTTCCCCTTCTTCCCTCAGTGTGTGGATCTGAGCTGTAATGAGCTAAGCGAAGTTACCTTACCTGAAAGCCTGCCTCCCAAACTGCAGGAGCTAGACCTGACTGGAAACCCTCGCCTCACCCTCGATCACAAAACCCTGGAACTGCTCAAGTAGGTATTCTGTAAAATACTGGGGCCACTGCTCTCTACCGTGGTGAACACAGTTTGTATCTCTGTACTTGAAAGGACAAAAATAACATGAGGAACGCAAGGAGCAGCTACAATAGGAACTTAAATCTCAGGACTCATGATAACACAGGGATAGTAACACCTAATGCAAGTACTAAGGAAGAATTTTGAAGAGATGATGGGGGGCGGGGAAATAACAATTTGGAACTGAAAATCCAGATTATTATTATTTTTTATTTATTTTTTTTGTTTCGTTTTTTTTTTTTTTTTTTTTTTTTTTGGGTCCGGTCATGGGGCCTGAACTCTGGGCCTGGGCGCTGTCCCTCAGCTCTTCAGCTCAAGGCGAGCGCTCTACCACTTGAGCCACAGCACCACTTCCGGCTTTTTTCTTTTTGCTTGTGTGGTGCTGAGGAATTGAACCCAGGGCCTCAGGCATGCAAGGCAAGCGTTCTACCACTGAGCCACCTTCCCAGCCCCCAGATTATTATTTTTTAACTGGAAAAGTTGGATTAGTTAGATCTTGTTAAAGTTCCTTCTGTGTTTTTGGAAAGAGTTCATTAATACTGCTTCATCATCAACATTAAATAATTTCATGCTGGGTGTGGTGGCTCACACTTGTCATCCTCTGTGATCAGGAGGCAGAGGTTAGGATCATGTTTTGAGGCAAGTCTGGGCATAGTAGTATACTCCTATCATCCCCACTACATGGGAAATATAAATTTAGGCCTGGTATAACTGTGAAATCCTATTGCAAAAAGTTGGGGGCCATGGCTTAACTAATAGAGTACCTGCCTGGCAAGTATGACATCTCCCTACCCCTCTCCCCGCCGGGCCTCCACTACCCCCACCCCAAACAGAATCATAAGTTTATAAGTTGCTTATGGTGTTACCAAGAAGTTTTGTATTAATGTTTATCATAGAACTCTAAATGTCTTTTAGTAGAGGTAACTAAATTATGCTCCACTTGTGGATAGAGTTATTATGTAGCCCTATTGTACAAATTGGAAAATCTCCACAGAATAGAATTAAATGAAAATAAAAATTTCAAAGAAATGTGTATACATGTAATTCCCCCCTTTTTAAAAATAGTGTGCGTGCCCACCCTCAAAAAAAGTGCCTGAAAGGATGTGTAACAAGCTAAAAAAGTTGTTCTCTGATTAATAGGGTTATGAGTAGTCTTTATTTTCTTTAAACTTCTCTGAATTTTCATTTTGTTACAGTATCTTTACTTTTGATATTAGTGTTTGATCTTAAACCATACCCACAACTTCTTTTGCTCTATCTATCTATCTATCTATCTATCTATCTATCTATCTATCTATCTATCTATCTATCTATCTATCTATTGTGCTGGTCCTGAGGCTTAAACTTAGGGTCTGTCCTTGAGTGTCTTTTGCTCAAGGCTAGTGCTCTACCATTTGAGCCACAGCTCTATTTCCAATTTTTTTTAGTAGTTCATTGGAGATAATAAGAGTCTCATGAACTTTCCTTTCTTGCCTGAGCTGGCTTGGAATGTCCATCCTCAAATCTCAACCTTCTGAGTAGGATTACAGGCATGAGCCACCAGCTCCTGATCACTTTAGTTATTTTTTAGGTATAGTTTCTTTGTCCAGAGCCAGACTTGAACTGCCATCCTCCTACCTAGTGTCTCCTGTGTAGCTGGGGTTATAGATAATGCTTCCAATGGCCAGATTATTGGTTTGAGATGGGTTTTTATTAGCTCTTAGCCCACGATGGCTTTCAACTATGATTAGTACTACTAATCTCTACCTCCCGAGTACTTAACATTACAGGGTTTTGCCACATTTGCAGTTTTGACCATTGACCCACATTAGTCACTGCTTGTCCAGTATCACAGAAAATACAAAGAAGAGAAATTTGATGAATGATCCATTACATACAATCTTGAAGAGCTTTACAGTAGTTCCTGGATAGAATTGGTCTGGTCAGTGCCCACTTTCATTTAAAATACTTTATGAAAAAGTTGATTTGTTGTACAGTGGAGGAAGCCTGCTGAGCAGCAGAGCATCCTTGAGGAGACATGGAGGCCTGGCTTCCCGCCAGTGGATCACCATTCTGTGAATCCATGGCCTCAGGCCCTCCACTGGCCAGTCCTCAGTTACCTGATAAGAGTAAGAGGAGCAGACTTCAAAAAGAAGAAGAAGAAGAAGAATCATCTTTTCTTGAAAGGATACTTTTCAAGACTGAATAGGTGATCAATCATCAAAATACATTTCCCTTTTCATGAGGACTTTTTATAAATATGATTTTTATTTTTATTTATTTATTTATTTTTTCCTCTCCTATGGCTTGAACTCTCAGGGATTGGGCACTGTCCCTGAGCTTCTTTTGCTGAAAACTAGCACTTTAACCCTTGAGCCATAGTGACACTCCTGGCCTTTTCTGTTTATGTGATACTGAGGAATCAAACTCAGGGCTTCATGCATGGTAGGCAAGTACTCCATCACTAAGCCACATTCCCCAAAATTTTTATGTTTCAGAACTGTGTCAAGTTGTTAGTGAATGAAACTAGCTTTAGAGAAAAGTTGTATCCAAAAAAAGGTGAATTATGTATAATATCATCTGAATATGCTCACAAGCTAGAAATGTTATTTTTTAGATTAAAAAGAAAGGGAGAAAGTATCAAGAAATTAGTATATACAGATTCGTTTTGACGTTTATGTTCTATATAGGCATAAATTTTACACATACCTTTTATTAAATATATCAAGAATAAATCTAAGCCAAGCACTAGTGGTTCATGCATGTAATCCTAGCTTCTCAGGAGACTGAGATTTGGAGGCTTGAAGTTCAAACCTAGCCCAGAAAGGAAGGTCTGTGAGACTCTACCTCCATTAAAAAGTAGGGCTAGGAGGATTGGCATAAGTGGTAAAGCACAGCTGTGAACAAGCAAGCCAAGTCAGGAGAGTGTGCCTGTATTACACATTGTACAAGAGCTGGAGTGGATGAGTATGTGCTTCATTCTTGAAGATGTGCAGGCATCATGCTGCAGTGCCCCTCAGATTGCTCCTTGCCACCTGCTGTTCAGCTAGGCCACAGACAGAAATTACTTCACTAGAAAAGATTATTGAATGGGGAAGGGGCTAGAAAAATTGCTGTGTACTTAAAAATTATATGTAAGAAATTATAAGTACAGACTGCCTAGCAGACTTTTGTATTACTCAAGTAAAGGTAGCAGTTCACACTTGTTTGGCTTTAATGATTCTCTTTCCTTTTTTGTTCTGTTAGTAATATCCGCTGCTTCAAGATCGATCAGCCTTCAGCAGCTGATGCATCTGGAGCCCCAGCAGTGTGGAGCCATGGTTACACTGAAGCTTCAGGAGTGAAAAACAAGTAAGTTGGATGAAACTTAGGAGCAAAAACTGTTCCTCTCTTTAGTAGGGTACAAAGAAACGCAGGGCTTTTGCACACACTTTTCTCCTGTAAAGTTTCTTTGAGTATGTTTCTCCAGAGTGAGGCTCCTTTATGACATCTGTTTGAACACCAAGCTAAGGCAGTGCTTGGCATCACATACTCCCCTTTTGTGAGAGAGGTTGCTAGGATACCGTGTAACTGACACACTATATCTGTGTAAGACTCCTGTGTTTGGAAAAGGCATAAGTATTGAAATGCATCCCTGCTCCTTTGAAAAGACCCTTTATCTTTCTCTGAAGCTTGTTTATCAAGCAGAACAGGGATAGCATTAAGGGAGAAGTAGCTTTGATTGTCCATATTTAAAATAATTTACATTGGTGACCAGAGCTATTTCTACAGTCTAAATTAGGTTGGCAACTCCCTGTAATGTCATCCATTTGTCCTGCTGCCAAGTTGTCACAGAGTTCTCTGCCTTAATTTCTTTTTCTTTCCTACTTTCTCCAACCAACCCTCTCTTAAATAAAAATGTTGATTTTTTTTTTCTCAAGAAATGCTATCAAACTTATCAGGCATGCTTACATTATATGAGGGCATGCTAATAAGTAATACTAGGAAAGTAAAGAATCCAGCAATAGTTCTAAGGTATAACAGCACAATATTGAGAGTAAAGAAAGAACAGAAAGTAGAGAGAGACTCCATAATAGCTCACAACTGATTAAGAAACTTATTTAAAAATAAAAATTCCCAACTTGGTATGGTAGTGCACACCTGTCATTCCAGCATGAGGCCAGCTTGTGGAACTTAATGAGACTCTGGCTTAAAAAAAAAATAAGATTATATAAATTATGTATTAACTACATAAAACAGATATATGAAATATAAGCACATAGCTATTATTCAGCCTAGACTCATTGAATCTGAATGTTTTAAAGTCCCAAATAAGTAATTCTAAAGTGTTTAGGATTGAGAATTGCTGACTAGCAAGTAGAATGTAAAATGTGGTACTATTGCTGCATGCTGACTGCTTTTCTCTGGGACAGGAAGTAGTATCTGCTCTAGTTCTGGATCTGGAACACTGATCCCTCCTACTTTCCTTACAGGGTGATTTGGCTGCCTGCTGCTTAGAGGAGAGACAGTCCCCATCTCAGCCTCTGTTCCCTTTGCTCAGCAAAGGCAGAATAACCTAAGCAGGCCAGCCTCAGCTCCTCCTGGCTATTGCCTCATTAGCATGTTCGTTGTACTGCATACCATTGGGTTAGCTGTGTGTTCATTACAGTGCTCACATTTCCTTTCTAGAGGCAATCGCTTTTTAGACTAAAGAATCGGGTATCTTACAAATCCCTACTTATTTTTCCAATTTCCGAACACTGATGTGAAATATAATAAAAGTGTTTTAAAAATAACCTGGGTAATAAACTTTTCTTACCTACTTATCCATATGGATTAAGCAAGTAATCAGTTAGGTCTGCTTTTCTCTGCATAATTCCTCTTCCACAATTTCTTTTTAAAAAACTGTATTAAAGTATGACCTAAGTCCAGAAAAGTGTGTGAGTAGTGGTGTGTAGCTCTGTGAATTGTCCTAAAGTAAGCATAGATGCGGACTGCCACAAGCTCAGGGAGATAGAAGCTGAACAATGCCCCAGGATAGTAGCCACCTTTGTCCTTGCTGTATTTCCTGTGGCTTCTTTTACTCTGCCAGCAGAGTATATACTGAGAATGTTTGGTATTTTTTTGTTTTGTTTTTTATTTGGGAGTTTTGTATTTTACATGAGCTGGTTATTTTTTCTTTCTCATCTATTCTGTATGTGTGTAAGAGAGAGGAAGAGGAAGATTTCCTTTTGGAAAATCCTTGCTTAGGGTTTATAACATAATCTTTGTTATCACAGCTTACCTCCAAGTCGTATTGTATTGTATCCTATCGTGTCACGGATAAGCATCTTACAAATATTATTACTACTCCAGTGTTTGTCTCTGTGTTGTTGTCTTCTGTTTTTCTTGTGCATTTATTTTAGTGTTTACACTTTGGTATATTATTTTCTAAAACAGTGTTTCTTAACTTCAGTACCATTGAGGTTTGGGGGCCAGATTATAGAATGTTTTGTAGCATGCCTGGCCTGTACTCACCAGGTAGTAACATCCCCTGTCCCAGGAGAGGCATGTAGTAGTAAGATGTCCCCACCCCTTCATCATTTGTGATGACTACATTTATAGAGAACCACATATCCATCTCTTAAAAGTGCCTTTATTTCACCTTCACTTTTCAAAGCTATTTTTACTAATTTAGAAATCTATGTTGGCCTCTAATTTTGTTTTTTTTTAAGGGTTTTTTAAAATCAGTTCTTAGAAGATGTGGCCCCAATCTTTGATGTTCCTAGAGAAGTGTGCAGTCATTCATATCTTTGTGCCATAGTCCACCCTCTACCATCCTTCCTGGATTTTAACTGTTTGATTGTGGGGCGGGGAAGGTGGCTCAGTGGTCGAGTGCTTGCCTCTCATGCATGAAGCCCTGGATTCAATTCCTCAGCACCACATAAACAGGAAAAAGTTGGAAGTAGCACTGTGGCTCAAGTGGTAGAGTGCTAGCTGAAATGCTCAGGGACAGCACCAAGGCCCAGAGTTCAAGCCCCACAACTGACCAGAAAACAAACAAACCAACCAGTTTGATTGTGATGTGCCTCAGCTTTCTTCATACTGCTCTTGTTGGCAGTTTATTGAACTTAATACTTTTCATTGAATTTCAGATGTCTGTCATAAATACTCATTTGGCTTTTTTTTTTTGTCCTCTTTCCAAGACTATCTTCCAAGTCATAGATATTTGCCCTCCACTCATTAATGCCTTTTTGTTGTTGTTTTCTCATCCATGTTTTTCTCTCTTTAGGTTTTTGGGTATATTTTTTTATTCATCTGTTTGATTCCTTTTGCTTTTCGGAGATAGGGCCATACATAAGCTCATGTCCCTGTGCTGAGATGGCAGGCAGGTGGCACGATGCCCAGCTTCTCTGCTTCATGCAGTTCTGGAACACAAATTACTTGGTCATTTTGATTCTTTGAAGCTGCGATAGAGAGACTCTTGACCGCCAGTGCGCAGTGGCTGAAGCAGCTCTTCTCTTCCAGCATTTTGCAGGGCAGCCCTCAGCTGCCAGCAAGCACCACCTGCCTCACACGTAGCTCTTGTCTTGATGCAATTTGGGAACTTCCTCCCCAGGAGTAAACAGGGCAGACAGCAGGTTGTGTCCAGTTTCTAAAAGCTGTATGTATGTGTCTTACTTCCTTTTAAAATTATTAAAAACTTTTCATATAGCTTTACGTTTCATGTTTTCTAATTTTTTTTTTTTTTGGAAGGGGCATTCAATTGTAGGGCTTGAACTTGGGGCCTAGGCACTGTCCTTAAGCTCTTTTGCTCAAGGCTAGCACTCTACCACTTTGAACCACAGTGTCACTTACAGTTTTCTGGTAGTTAATTGGAGATAAGAATCTAAGGAACTTTCTTGCCCAGGCCAGCTTTGAACCACAGTCCTCAGATCTCAGCCTTCTGAGTAGCTAGAATACCAGAGCTTGGCTCCTAATTATCACTCGTTTTGGTTAGATGTGCAGATTCTCCTGAATAGCCATTCATTGACTGAATAAATAAAACCAGGTGCCACTGATATAGATGCAGTGTACTCATAATCTGACTGTTGAGTTGAAACCCTTTTGTATAACTACTTAAAATAAATAAAATCAGTGCCTGCCCCTAGTGGCTCAGGAGGCTGAGGTCCACAGAATTCCAGTTTGATGGCTTTCTGGGCAGAAAAGTCCATAAGACAACTCCTTCAAAAAAATACCCATATCTGACCTGGGGTGTGGCTCATGTGGTAGACGAGGACCTGAGTTCCAACCCTGGTCCCAACAACAACAAAATAATAATCAGAAGAGAAAGGTGAGGAAAGGCATGTGTTGTATATGATGCATGTTAATAGTTGTTAATCATAGTGAATCATATTATAATGAATGTTAATCTCTGCAGATAGAAGTTGGTTAGTACAACTTCTCTGGACTCAGTTTACCTATAAATTTGTCTGGAGTCATAAGGAAAGAAGCACTGGGATAAATCCTTAGAAATTACTGTTGAGTTGGTCATGGGGAAGTAAAGATGAGTACACTTATCACAATTCTTCCTTCGTAGGTTGTGTGTTGCAGCCCTGTCTGTGAATAACTTCCGTGACAACCGAGAGGCCCTGTATGGTGTATTTGATGGGGATCGGAATGTGGAGGTACCCTATCTTCTCCAGTGTACCATGAGTGACATTTTGGCTGAAGAATTGCAGAAAACAAAAAACGAGGAAGAATACATGGTCAACACATTCATAGTAATGCAAAGGTAAAACATGAAGTACCTGCCCTCCTGTATTTTCTTGCCGTGTGTGTGTGTGTGTGTGTGTGTGTGTGTGTGTGTGTGTGTGTGTGTGTGTGTGTGTGTGTGTGTGTGTGTGTGTGTGTGTGTGTGTGTGTGTGTGTGTGTGTGTGTGTGTGTGTGTGTGTGTGTGTGTACACCAGTCCTGAGGCTTGAACTCAGGGCCCAGTGCTCTCATGCTGGTTAATTGGAGATAAGAGTCTTGGACTTCTGTTGCCACAGCTGGCTTCAAACTACTCCTCAGATCGCAGCCTCAGGATTATAGTTTGAGTCATCAGGTGCCTGGCTTATAAAAGTCTTTCTGGAATTGGTCAGATTTTTGGAAGTGGACAGATTTCAGTCTAAGGGCCAACACATTATGTTTGTTTCCCCCTTCTTCAGTGTTCAAGACAGGGTCACTAGTAGACTCGACACTTCCACCCACAACAGAGCCTCACTCACTGTGGGAATTAGGGAGTGTCATTTGGGATTATTTGACATTTGTTACTAGCACTTAAGTGAAAGAAGTGTGCTCATCCTTTTGCCAACTGGGCTTGGAATTGAACTGTGTATAAATACCATCTTGCAGACTCTTGCTGTAAGGGGCCCAGAGTGACAGATGACCTTGGGCTCTAAGGGTCGTGGCAGCAGTGGCAATCTGCTCCTCCTCTCTCTGCCAGAGGAGGTGGCTTCATAACCAGGGTACGAAGTGTCTGCTGCACAGTGTTGTCCTCTGCAGCTTTCAGAGCCATGCCTGCACTGTGAGTGGTTACCCTTGCAGAGTCTGTAGGTGGTCTTGCAGGTTGTCGGGTGGGAGTCTTGGCCACCAGCCTGACCTCTCTGTCCAGGGGCAGAACCATTACAATTGAACAATTGTAAGAGCTAACGAATACATAGTGAGCTTTTCCTGTGTATAGTCATTGATGTAAATACTTTACAGATCTTCAGTTTTCCCCAGTGAGGCAGGTATTGCTACTATTATTTTTTGGATGAGACAGAAGTGAAGCAAAGTGCCCTTGGAGCTAGTAAGTGGTGCAACAGGGTTTGTCCTTGAGCACTGCAACTCCAGATGCTGTTCTGGTACCAGGCATATCAGCTTTTCTGATGTAGTCACCACCTTGTCTTAGAGAGAAATGCACACACACACACACGCGCGCGCGCGCACACACACACACACACACACACACACACACACGGTCTTGTATTCAAAACCTCCCAAGAGATCTACTTTTTATCCTCAATGGGTAAGAATTACAAACTGAAAGCTGGACACCCAGTGCTCAAGCCTGTAATCTTACCTACTTAGGAGACTCACAGTCACTTTGAAGCCAGCATGAGCAAAAAGGTCCAGGAGATTCCATCTCTAAAAATAGCCAGTAAAAAAGTTGGGCTTGTGTAGTTCAGATGGTAGAGCACTAGCCCTAGTAAGTATGAGATCCTGAGTTCTAACCTAGTACCACCAAAAAAGAAAAGGAATTAAAGTCTGAGAAGTCCAAATTCCTGTTATTAGTAGCTATATATACCCTTCCTATTTTTTGCTCCTTTCAAAGAAAGTAGTGCCACCTTGGAGCCAGATCTGGTCAGGGATATCTGGAAGTTCAAATTTGGAGACCTAAATTATAGGCCTATCTCTAGGGTCTGTGGTATACCTTTTATTTTCTTGTTAATAAGGTGCAGGTTCATGATGAGCACTTTGATCCTTAGGGGTCTGCATGTTCTTTGTGCCCAGTTTCATTGCTGTTATTGCCAGTTGCTTCACTTAGAAGCTGATAGGAGCTGACAGTGCTGGAGGGTCTCCCTGCCCTTGTGAAACAGGGAGGCTGTTTTTATAACTGCCTCGTTCTGATACCACTCAGAAACAGCATGGGTCTGAGAGAAATGGTCATTTATGGAGATTGTGGTTGGTAATCTTTGCTTCTTTTTAGCCAAAAGAATTTGTAGGTGCTTCAAATAATAAGACCATGATAAATGGTCAAAAAATCATAAGCACCTAGTGTTTGATTAGCAGCAAATCTCAGCTGCAGTCCAATCCTTCAGAAGAAGAGGGCAGCCAGGTTTTTCTGAGCAACCATTCTGTATTCACACCTATTCTGGAATAAGTGGGCCCTTCAGTTTTCTTCTAGGAACAGAGGATTTAGAGAAGTGGATGGAGAAAGAAGTGGTAATTTCTTGCTATCTTTGGAGTGTGTTGCTAGGGCAGTGTGATTAACTTTGGGTAGCAGGCTGGGCACAGCAGAACAAAGGCCCCTTCATTACAGACACCTCGTTTGGATTTTAGTGGAAAATATGGCATTTTCTCCTATACCTCAGATTCCAGTGGCTCTCTTCCCACTGATACACAGAACTGATGACACATGAGTTCCTTGAGTTCTCACTCCATCTCCTTAAATTCCAGGAAACTTGGAACTGCTGGGCAGAAACTTGGAGGTGCTGCTGTCCTTTGTCATATCAAGCATGACCCTGTTGACCCAGGAGGGTCCTTTACCTTGACTTCTGCTAATGTGGGCAAGTGCCAAACTGTTCTCTGTAGAAATGGGAAGCCATTGCCTCTGTCCAGATCTTACGTCATGAGCTGTGAAGAAGAGCTGAAGAGAATTAAGCAGCACAAGGCCATTGTCACCGAGGTGAGCAGAGGGATTTCCTGGAATGGCAGAGAGCAATAGCCAGGTCATTGCAGAAACAAGTTTGTGGGCGTTTGCCTTCAAAGAACATTTTTTGAAATTGGTTTAAAATTAGTTTTTTGAATCCATAGTGTTCCACAGTAAATTCCTTGTATGATGTGTGTAAAAGTATTATTAACCTATAGGATTGTGAAACACATATCAGTTGTATGTTGTGTGTAAAGGTATTGTAGCTTATAGGATAATTTAGCATGTACTAGTGGCCAGGTAGAATAGCACTTCATGGGTATCATCTCATTTGTTCACAGCCACTGGTCCACAGCGCTGGTTGTGTAGTCAGGAGCTCTGTTCCTGAAATCCTAGGGCTGGTTTGCATATCTCTAAGCCTGTTTTTTCACCCATAATTAGGAGTAATAGCATATTGGTCTCATCTTACAAAGTTACTCTGATTGGGACACAACAAGTGTCTATGGAACTGTTATTTTTCTCCTTGCCTACTGTTCCATTTTAGTAGCATGTAGTGCTCAGCAGAGGGCACTTTTGTCTACTGGCACATAGGGGGTAGAGGGTGGAGATACAATGAACTTCATACAATATACTGAACATTCTACAATAGAAGTGACAACCCCATAAGAGCTACTTCTCTGGCCTCAAAATAGCACCAGTGATGCTGTTGAAAACCCTGGAGTAAGTCTACATTTACTAATTCACCTGGTTTCGTTTGCCTGAAAAATGATACTGGAGTAGAGCAGTGATCTTCATAGATATACATCTGCCCAAAAGAAGTTCTCAATCTTACTGATGCTTATTAAAATTGTGTGGTTAAAAAAAAAAAAAAAAACCCTGCCAGTCTTCTCGTTGATAAAACCTACAGAATCATGTATAGTTCATAGACCATTGAAAATTGGTCCAGCAGCATAAAAGACCAATTACAGATCAGCTTTGTAAGGGCCATAAGAAAGATACAGTAAGACTTAAGATACACTGGGATCCCATGGAAATGCATCTGTGTGTAAATTTAGTCTGTCTATTCTAAGAGCAGGGGGAATTTAAATGGATGGAAGACTATGTTAGGAAGTAAAGACAGTCTGATATTATGCAGAATGTATTGCACTTAAGTGATCACTGTTACATGCCAACGTGATCTGAAGGTTAAAGATACCTACCGTATAACTGAATCACAGTTTATAGATCGACCTTTTGCCTCTCCTCTTACTCACTTGATTGGGCGGGGGGGGGGGGGGGGGGGGAGGGAATGTTGCTTTGTTTTGTTTTGTTTTTCATTTTGGTTCTGTCAGGCATACCCTTAAAACACATACATACAGTACACAAAACCATTGGTTCTGCTGGGAGAAATCTAACGGGTGGCCAAAACAGCAAGGGTAGCTCTTGGCAAATCCCCCACTTTGGGGAAAATTACATCCCAAGAAAGAGAGCATTTAAAGTGTGCTAGATGCCCTGTTTCACTTATCTTCTGAAATGCCACCTGCACATAAGGGTGGCATCATGAGATTGCTTAAGGAGGGGGGTAAGCTACCCTGAGAACAAGCAAACACTTTGCAGAGTCCAAGGCCAGGGGTGGGAGTGGGAAGACTAGGGTGTTCCCTGGGAGACTTGCTCAACTTAGACATATACTAATAGTCAGCGCCTTCTGTGGAAAGAAGTGCTAAAATTAGCATGTAAAACCATTTTGTGGGCCTGAGAACCTTGAACTTAAAAAGAGAGAATCCAGCAGATACATGTATTGTTTAAGTGTCATAACCCATCTGAACTAAATCTGGGAGGTTTGCTTTCCCCACTTGTCCTAAGAAATCAAGTTTAAGTAAATCTTAAGAATTAGCACCTCTTCTTTAGCATCTGCCTCTCCAAACATGAGAATTCTGACTCAGCTAGTCACATAATATTTTCTTCACCAATTAAGGCCTCTCACTGTCTGTCCCCTGGTGCTCCATATGCTAGTAGAGTGGAAATAAACCTGACTTGTGCGTTTCTTGGGCTGGTTTCATCGCTGACAGGAGCTAGTGAGCCTGCACCTGTTTGAGGGTGGATGGATGGCTTGCCTAGGAGATATAAGGTCTTGCCTCTTAGTATGAACATAATCTTAATAAAGTGAATGCCTGAAGTACTTTCCACTTGTCCCAGGCCTACATACTAAAAACTTTCTAGAAGGTAACCAGTCCACCACCGTGGGCCACCCCATACTTCCCTGTGGTCCTATAGTCAGACACCCAAGGGGCAGCTGTGCAGTTAACTGGGGTGCTCTGTGCTCGCTTATCTCTTTGGAAACCCTTCTTCTTCCAGGACGGCAAGGTGAATGGAGTGACAGAATCCACACGCATCTTGGGCTACACCTTCCTCCATCCCAGTGTGGTCCCTCGCCCCCATGTGCAGTCTGTCCTCCTCACCCCACAGGATGAGTTCTTCATCCTGGGTAGTAAGGGGCTGTGGGACAGCTTGTCCATTGGGGAGGCTGTGGAGGCTGTGCGCAACGTGCCCGATGCCCGAGCTGCTGCCAAGAAGCTCTGCACCCTAGCCCAGAGCTACGGCTGCCATGACAGCATCAGCGCCGTGGTGGTTCAGCTCAGCGTCACGGAGGACAGCTTCTGCTGCTGTGAGCTCAGTGCCAGCAGCAGTGTGCCACCACCCAGCCCAGGCATCTTCTCTCCCTCCGTCAACATGGTGATCAAAGACCGGCCTTCTGATGGGCTAGGCGTGCCATCCTCCAGCAGCGGTATGGCATCAGAGATCAGCAGTGAGCTGTCCACCTCGGAGATGAGCAGTGAGGTGGGGTCCACAGCCTCAGACGAGCCCCCGTCTTCTGGAGCCCTAAATGAGAGCAGCCCCGCCTACCCCAGCGAGCAGCGATGCATGCTCCACCCAGTCTCCCTCTCCAACTCCTTCCAACGCCAGCTGTCCAGCGCCACTTTCTCCAGCGCCTTCTCTGACAATGGCCTTGACAGTGACGACGAAGAACCCATTGAGGGCGTCTTCAGCAATGGCAGCCGTGTGGAGGTGGAAGTGGACATCCACTGCAGCAGGGCCAAGGAGAAGGAGAGACAGCAGCACCTGCTCCAAGTGCCAGCCGAGGCCAGCGACGAGGGCATTGTCATCAGTGCCAATGAGGACGAGCCAGGTCTGCCCAGGAAGGCAGACTTCCTGGGGACTATCGGGCGCCGCAGGGTGAATGGCTCTGTGGCACCCCAGGAAAGAAGCCACAATGTGATAGAGGTTGCCACAGATGCCCCGCTTCGAAAGCCTGGAGGCTATTTTGCTGCCCCAGCTCAGCCTGATCCTGATGATCAGTTTATCATCCCCCCAGAGCTAGAAGAGGAAGTCAAAGAAATGATGAAGCACCACCAAGAGCAGCAGCAGCCGTCACCACCACCTCAGCCACAGCAGCCACCGCCACAGCGGCAATTCCACACGGACCAGCTGCCCGACTATTACGACACACCATTATGACCTAGTCCGAGCACTGCTCTATAAAAATAAACTAACCCAGAAAGACTGAGCAGTCTCCTAGGCTCACGTTAACCAGGGGTTCTACTCCACATCCTCCCAAACACTGCCCCACTGTCTCTGCAGCTAATCTGTAGGCTCTTTCTGTTGGTTATTTTTTTTAAAAAAATAATTACCACTTTTCTTCTAGTGATGCTTTATGAATATGATTTAAATTTGTTAACTTTTTTTCCCCTAACATATCAGATGTGTAAAGACAAAGAACAAAAGGTTTAATATATTACAGAGAAACAGTTAATGATAATGTAATATTTTTTAAAATGGCTTTTTGTTGTCTTGTTTGTTTGGAGGGCAGGCCAGCTTGCCTTTGCTAAATGATTTAATAATATTGTGATACTGTATTTCTTGGTGGGGCGGGGTGGGGGGGCTTTTTTTGTCTTGAAAATGATAGACATTTGTAGAATATGGAGACTAACTCCTAGGAGTTGCTTTACTCTGTCAGGTGACTTAAGTCACTGGGACTCACTAATTTTCTCTGAGAGAACAGTTGATTGAGAAATTTCTATTGTAAATAGCTCAGTGTTATATAGTGATGCTTCAAATGTTTTGTAGTCTTGGTGTAAGGACGCAGCCTAAATTACTGACTTCTCTTCTTGTCCCTCTGGGAAGCCCTCCCTGCTCTGTCCCCACACCTAGCTCACCTTCAGCTGAGGCTTTGGCAAACCCATTTTTGTTTGGATAAGACAAGGCAGCTCTGAGGACACTGGGCAAGATCCTGCCTGGGCCCTGGAACCTGTTTCCTTTCTCCCTGAGCCACGCCTCTTGACCTTTGCAGACACTTTTTAATTGTGTTCCTTACTGCTGCCACAATCAGCATGACTGTATAGAGACCAGTAGACCATTTACATACCCAGAGTCATATTAAAGCAGAATGCACAAATGGACATGTCATCATTTTTGTTATAAATAAACATGAAATTTACAAGTATTGGATCCATCTGCTTTTGTCTCAGCAGCCAGGTATGTCCTGCAGATGATCCCACCAGTTTGGGTTTTGCAACAGATAGATGGAACTTTGGAGTCTATCAGATGTTTACTGTCTTGGGGTTTTGTTGCTGGTTTTGTTGTTGTTGTTTTTAAGGGAAATACACCTAGCAGGCTACAGTGAACAAGGTACTGAAATTGACCATATGTCTAATAGCTGGTGTTACACCCTTTCTTGTTCTTACTTTTATCATGTTGGGGAAATACATAGAGGTTTCATTGAGATCTACAGAAATCTTCTCATCTCATAAAGCCAAGTTTGTTTTCAGTTCTCCCAGGAGCCCCTAGATCATCACATAAACCATTGTACCTTGTGTTGCAACAGTGAAAATCAGGAGTTCCACCACTAGCAGACACAAGTGTAGGTGTAGTGAGTGGTGCACTCAGGTTCCAGGCTGACTCCTCAGGCACTTCCCAGACTCTGGGCCTCTTACCCCCTCCACACTGAAGCACATGGGAAAGAGACTCTTGGCTTCTCTGTCTCAGATGGGCCAACTTTCCATGTCCCCATGTCTCCCTTGAGGTTTGCTCCTAATAATCAGCGTGGTTCTATGATGGCACTTCATATCATGACTTGTGGGTTGATGGGAGGTGCTCTGTTGCTCTCATAGGCTGGGGGTAATGACTTCATTTCTGTACAAGTATGCACACAGGATTCTTGAGGTACCACCGTGGTTATGGAAGAAGAAATCACTCATTCCAGCCAGTGGAGGACCCAGTGGCTAAAACCACTGATCTTCCCAAATGCATCAGCCTTGGACTGGAAGTGGAGCTGTCTCAGGAGCTCTGCCTTCCTTCGTCTGCCCCATTCCACATGGATCAGAGCAGACACATCAAGCTCCAGGTACTTTCTTTCCCCAGTGATTCCCTTTGGAGATGTGGACTGGCACTCTGGCTTCCTCAGCTCTGGGCCTCAACCCTCTGGGCCGTGTTCACCTGTTCTCTTTGGAACAGACCTAGATCAACAGTGTGGTAATGCTGCTGCTGCTGCTTCTACTACTGCTGACACATAGAGGTATTAGAGCCTGTATAGTTGGTCAGCTAGAGCCAACAGGTACAGTCCCATAGCCACTAATGTTCAATGGTAGCCTCAGGACCTGCAAGGTCTCATGGAGACTTGCTCCTGGTGTCTGCGGCCGAAAGGAGAAAGGAACAGACTGAGAAGTGGTGTTCCAGAGTGCCCCAGTGCCCTGGGCACTGGCCTGTCTGTCTGTTCTGTCATGAAGTGTGCTTGCTACCTACAAAGCACTGTGAAGATAAAAATAAAACTTTCCCTTGGGGACCTTGGGGTACATAGGACATAGAGATGAGCAGATGATTCTGTTGAGCACATGTTGAGTGACCAAAGAATAAACATACTAAAGTCTGCATGCTCTTGCATAAGAGCATCCCCAGTTACTTTCTGAGGTGGAGTTTTTATTTGTTCAACCAAGAAAGCATCTTATAGTCGCTGTGGAACTGCCTATAAAACTGTGAAGTGACTGAGCCTCAGAGGATTGAGATTTGAAGCCAGTCTGGATAGAAAAGTTCGCTAGAAGCCAGGCGCCGGTGGCTCACGCCTGTAATCCTAGCTACTCAGGAGGCTGAGATTTGAGGATCGAGGCTTAAAGCCAGCCCCAGCAGGCAAGTCCGTGAAACTCTTATCTCCAATAAACCACCAGAAAACGAAGTGGCGCTGTAGCTCAAGTGGTAGAGCGCTAGCCTTGAGCTGAAGAGCTGAGGAACAGCACCCAGGACCAGAGTTCAAGCCCCATGACCGACCAAAAAAAAAAAAAAAAGTTCACTAGATTCCACCTGCATAATAACCAACAAAAGGCATGGCTGAGGAGTGGCCAGGGCTTTGCAGAGTATGTATGAGGGAGAAGGGCTGTATTTCTCCCTCCTTGCTATATTTCTTGCTTTCTACAGAGAAATCTATTTAACTAGAGAAGGGCTCAGGGAGAGGAAGAAGAGGTTAGAACAGAAGCTTAGAACCTCTTGTGAGGCTTACAACCAAATAGAAGATCCTGATTAAGGGTCTCCCAGCTGGTCAGTGTTGGATCTGCCACTTGAATTAGCCACTTGCTGCCATATGTGTGCCTTCAACCCTCCCACGGCCACTGCTCACACAGTACTAGTTTTGGCGAGGAGTTCCTGAGTCTCACCCTGTATGGTTTCTCAGTTGCTTTTGTCATAGCACCACCTGCTGGTGAAGTTTCCTCTCCTTCCAAAGAAAATTTTCTTACTGTTTTCCTAGAATAGATAGAAAGCAATGGGACAGACAGACTTGTTAAATGTAACTATATTACATTGAATGAGACAGTACTAAGTTACATTAGTCATTTGCATCTTTTTTTTAGCTTTTTAAGGTAGTGTATTTAAACAAAGTGCTAGTGGCTCACACCTATAATCCTAGCTACCAGGAAGCTGCAGTCTAAGGAGTAGGGTTTGAAGCTAGTTTGGGCAGAAATGTCCATAGACCTTTATCTCCAGGTAACGACCAAAAAGCTGAAATGGAGCTCTGGCTCAAGTGGTAGAGAACACCAGCCTTGACTAAAAAAACTAAGGGATTGTGCCCTGGCCCTGAATTCAAGCCCCAGAATCAGCACTGATCAGAATAAGAATAGTGAAGAAGAAAGTACAATTGACTACTGATCTTGTAATAGTACTGTTTCCCATGAGGCAGTAATAGAGAAATATTTACCAGAAATGTAAAAGATTTTATGTCTACTTCCCATCCATTTCCCAACTCCCTTATCTCCAGGATTTTAAAAAATACATATAAACTGAAACAAAAAGCATGTGTAATACACCTTGAAACTTGGCACTGCCCGAAAGGTAGAAAAGGAATCATTATTATTTAACTACATTGAATCCCATGTGATCACTCTTTCATGAGTATTTTTTAATTCATTCTTGAGACATCAGAAGACAAGCTTTGTGTAAGAAGTAGGGGCTGTGCTGTCAGCCCTACCTACCTACCCCCCCAGTGATCAGACTGAGGGATGTCTGAAATAATTCCTAGCCAGTAAAGCATATTTAAGCATCACTGCTATAGAAGTAAGAGTGGCTTGAGAACACAGCAAAAGAACCCTTTTACATGGCAAACTATCAAGAGAAACAGCTGTTAAGAAGATGAGGTGCTGGTAGAAAGTGAGCTTTTCCCTTTTCTTGCCATTGAATTTAATTCACCTCCCTAACTCACATTTTGTACAAATGAGTCTAGGAAGCTTTGTTTTGATTACTACAATATGTTAGTAGTTGATTATTATTGCTGTGTGTTTGAAAGACAGTTTTCCAGTTGTTGTTTAGAGCTCACCTTACCAAATACCAAGACTGGAACCAAGTTCAGACTTAGTTTGGCAAATCTATTGGCCTAATTAGTAAGTGAAAGTAGGAGCTATTTCTAGTAAGCAAAGCTCTGTGCTTATGATAGGGGACACTATGACACCCGTACCACCGGATTCACTGGCTCTACCCAGCAGTGGCCAAGAAAACCCCTTGCTCAGCTCTGGTCTTTATCATGGTCCTGTAATTCCTGACTTGGGTGTGGGGATGGCTGTCTGTTCTTGAGAGGACTTGAGGGTCTGAGCCAGCCTGAAGATGAGCTATAGACCACACAAATGTCAAAATCCACAGTCGAGACCCTACAGGCCTGACCTCCCTCCTAGAAGACTGGTTGAACACTTGTCAAGAAGAAATGATCCCTATGGCTACCTTCCATTTTCTAGGCTGTGTGGCTACCACATCCCCTGCCCCGAATTCACCCATAAAAAAGTACTGTGTTTATTTGGCTTTGGTTCATTAGTTTCTTCATTTTATACTAAATCAGAACACAGTGTTCTTGTGTTTTAAAGGGGGAACAGCAGAACACGTAGAGAATTTTCTTCCATCTGCTTATGACTGGATTACTCCTGGTGTTATTCCTGTCGTTCTTTTAAGGACATGGACTAAAGCTGGTCTCACACTAAAATGTCTTTCTAGGCATTACTACTTATACCTTTTTCCAATAAACCTGGGCTTTGTTCTAATAAGCAGCCCAACTTATTGATAAGAAGTCAGAACATCAAACGAGATGGTTTTCTGGAATGTTATACAATCTCCAGACTTTGGCTTTCCTTAAGCTCATCCAGTCATTTGCTTTTCTGAGATTCTCAGATCTTAAACTCCTAAGTAGCTAAGATTACAGGTGTGAGCCACTGGTACCTAGCCTCTTCGGAGGTTATGAAACCAATTCTTTTTTTTGGGGGGGGGGGTCCACTGTGGGGCTTGAACTCTGGGCCTGGGCACTGTCCCTCAACTCTTCAGCTCGAGGCTAGCACTCTAATACTTGAGCCACAGCGCCACTTCCAGCTTTTTCTGTTTATGTGGTACTGAGGAATCAAACCCAGGGCCTCATACATGCGAGGCAAGCACTCTCTACCACTGAGCCACCTTCCCAACCCGTGAAACCAATTCTTAATAAAAAATTGTCATGTAAGCCAGAAATATGTCAAGCACACAATCAACCTTCTATTTGCCTCATGGTCTATAATACCTTTAATGAATGATTAAAGTATATCAGTGGATCAGAAGTAGCTCATTTAAATGTATCAGGCACAGTGCTTCACGCCTATAGCTTTAGCTCCTTTAGAGGCTGAACTCTGAGGACCACAATTCAAAGTCAGCATGGGCAGGAAAGTCCAGGGCATTCTCATCCTCAGTTAATCACCAAAAATCCAGAAGTAAAGCTGTAGCTCAAGTGGTAGAGCACTAGCCTTGAGCACAATTGCTCAGGGACAGCATCTAGGCCCCAGGACAGGCACCAAAAAATTTAAAAAAAATAAAATTCTAGCCAAGTGCCAGTAGCTCATACCTAGAATCCTAGCTACTCAGGAGGCTGAGATTTTGGAACCCAGGTTCAAATCCAGCCTAGGAAGAATCCAAGAGATTGTTAGCTCCAGTGAATCACCAAAAAGCCAG